TATATAAATATATATTTTGTAATTTTCACAGATCTACAGCTATACCACAGTGAGACTCTGGAGCTCATGCTGCAGCGCTGGTCCAAACTGGAGCGTGACTTCCGCATGAAAAACGGCCGCTATGACATCAGTAAGATCCCAGACATCTATGACTGTGTGAAATATGACACCCAACACAATTCTTCTCTGGGGCTGGAGGACACGCTGGAGCTTTTCCGTCTGTCCAGAGCACTTGCAGACATCATTATCCCACAGGTAGAGGAATCGCGGCGAATAGTGTTAATTTATTCTCGCTCACCTTGCTGTTAGCTGCATACACGCTCTCTTTCAGGAGTATGGAATCAATAAAGCAGAGAAGCTGGATATCGCCAGTGCCTACTGCCTGCCTCTGGTCAAGAAGATTCAGCTGGATCTTCAGAGAACACATGAGGACGAGGCCGTCAACAAGCTGCATCCACTGTGAGTCTCTGTACTGGTGTACAGTACCTAACTCTTTGACCGAGTGAAGGCTAAATCACCTTTTGCATACTATACTGTACATCCTGTATAGTGCGTTAAATTACTATTAGTACATTCCACTTCAGCAGTCATGCAGGTTTTTTGTGGTTATTTTACTCACAACCCCTTGCGCTTAACTTTTACCTTTATTTATGAATGTATTTATTTATTGGCCATAGTTAATGCTTTGATGAAAAGCTTTGGCATGTCATATTTATTAATTGATATCCATTTTGCTTGCACTAAAATGGTGAACAGTTTTTGTTTTTTGTTGGCAGTAATATGTAAAAAAAAAAACAAAGTCAAAATGTTTGTTAGACTTCAGCAATCCAAATTTTACCAAACCAAATTTTTGACCATTTTGAAAGATATATAATTATTTATTTATTGATTGATTTTCAGTATTGTTGATATTGATATTGTTAGGGTTTTTTTAGTCATAGTTTTTGTATTTTGATGAAAATGTTTATCATGCCATATTTATTAAAGAATTATAAATGCAATCTATTAATATTTATTAAATGTAGTCAATTTTACTTCTGCGCTAAAATAGCATAAAATTTTGTCAGCATTTTTATTTTTTGTTGACGATATGTCAAATAATAGCAAACCAGACCAAAAGTTTTCAACATTTTGAAAAATGTATACATATTAATTTGTTTAATGTTTATTTTCAAAAGTTTTTATATTTGAAGATTTTTTTTTGTTTTAGTAATAGTTATTTTATTTTGATGAAAATCTTTGTACATTTTGCTTGCACTAAAATCCATACAGATTTTTTCAATAAAATTAACGTTTTTAACACATTTTACTATGTAAGATACTATGTAAGATAGCAAAACAAACTTAACATAAAAAAAAAAAAAAATTATTTAAAAAAATAATTATATATTGTTGATTAGGGGTTTCTCCCAGAACTTCTTGACACTGGTCGACAAAATTGAGAAACTCGGATAAACCCTTTACGTGCTTCCTTAAGGGGTGAGACTCAGGGGGGGCGTACCCCTTATATATATATATATTTATTTATTTATTTTGGACCACATTCCTCTGATGAACCTTGGATTTTATGTACAACTTTCTAAGAAATATTGCATGCTGGACAACTTCCAACACTTCCATTTCACATGTAACAGAACCACGAGAAGCAGACAAACCCAGGCAGTCTTGAAGACCTTTCCCAAGACGAGCCCGACAGAGCCGCACTGACTGAGCCAATCAGCATTCAGAGGAAGTCGCCACTCATACGAGGCCGAAAGGCTGGATCTATGGAGGTACAGTATTGTATTATAGGCTCTTCTAGTAGGCTTTCATTTTCTTTATTTGATTAACTGCTGCCATAATCAAAAAATGGACACAAACATTTACTTTAAATGAAATTCATTTTACTGCCAACTGTGTGGTGATAATAGTGCAATGTTAATGGCGCAGGGCAAATAGCAGTGAGTTTTGTGAAGACCATATAGTCTAATCCATGAGTTTTTGATGGCATTCTGTGAAAATTTGAGAAGAAAGTTAACATGTGAAATTAAGGGTAACACTTTACTTGGAGCCATTATGTATAATGCATTATAAAAGTAGTTTTAAAGCCTTGTAATCCACCTTATAATGCATTGTACAATCTCATGAATAATTGTAACCACGGGTAATACATTATAACACTTATCAATTCATTGTTACATAATGCATTTTAAATGTGGTTATAATAATTTACGACAAGATATCATGCATTACAATGTACATTATGAATAATTATAATGCATTATACATAAAGGCTTTAAGAAAAGTGTTACCAAATTAAGATATTGATTAAATGTTTTGGATGACATTTTAACAATTTACCTTAATGACAGTATAAAATGCAATTATTTAATTTTGGAAACAATTACAGTGCTATATTTAATTACAAAAATATTGATCATAAATCATACAGTAATATTTTCTCACGTAGTATAACGATTTCAAATGTTTGTGCTCTATAATATATATATTTTTTAATTAATACTTTTATTGAGCAAGAATGCCTTAAATTGATCAAAAGTGACAGTAAAGACAACTTTCTGTTTTAAAGAAAAACTATTATCTTTGCCTTTCTACTTAAATAATCCTGAAAAAAATTTATCATGGTTTCAACAAAAATATTAAGCAGCACAACTGTTTTCAGCATTAAGAAATGTTTCTTCAGCACCAGATCATCATATTATGATTTCTGAAGCATCATGTTTGAATCTTTGAACGGTTGTGTATATTTAAAAATATATAAATAATATTTATATTCCTTCACAGGAGTCATCATACAGGGGTATAATTTAAAAACTGAATAACAAGCTGAATTTATTTAGAAAGAAGGAATGTTTGTGCTAAAATGATTAGCAATGCTGTTTTGTGTATATGTATATTTTTTATGTGTGTCCATATGATTTTGTTTTCTTCTCTTTGCAGGCTCTTTCAGAGAGCAACACTTCTTCTCGAGGGCTGGCGTATCGCATCTTCCCATCGTCTTCTCGTCAGTCACCTGAGATCAAACCCAGCGGGCTAGGTGGGAATTACATTTCACTTGTGTTGTTTTCATGCAGCACATCTCTCCTGTCATCGGTCTCATTGGAAAAAACCATCCCGGTTGACCGTTAAACGCACTTGTTTCTGTTTAGCGCCAGTGACACAGTTCAAGGACACTTCTCAAGTTTATTTAAGTCATGTGCGTCGGAAATGCGTCCATGCTGCCAGTAGTTGTCTAAATATGGCTGCTGGCAGGGCCTTCTCTTCTATTCTTGTCTATACTATTTCTGTCTCCAAAGAACATTTACAGGGTGACACAGAGTTTCGTAGGCTCGGCGTTGCATAATGTTTAGAGATTGTGGCTAATGTTGTTTGCACCTCACTAAACCTTTAAAACATGATTTGCAGATCACTATTTTCTTAACTAAGTGCATGTTGCATATGGCATGTCTTTCATTTGAGCTTTTAAACAAGTGCTGTTTTTTTCAGTACTACCCTCTAGTGGTTGCAGTTAGAGATGTGCTTTTGTTCTTTAGAGCCTCAGACCTTAAATTACATTTGTTAGTGTTTCACCCTCCTGCACTGGCAATATATTTATGTTCCCAGACGAAGACCAGCAGTTTAACTGGGCTTTCTATAAAAAGTTCTCTATATGCCTGGAATTGAGCTTAAAGGAATAGTTCAGCCAGAAATGAATGTCAAAAATGGGTCAGTGAAAAATTAAAGTGTCCAAGAAGACAAAATCTTTTAAAAATCTATTTTAAAATGCTTGTGCAAAGTTATCTGCATTCGTTTTGGGTTAATATGGTTCTGAAAAACTTTTATAGAATTTGCACATTTACATTTAAGTACTTAATTTAATAAGAATTTAATTGTGAAAAAAACAAAACAAAAAAACACAGAGCAATAACAAGCATGTTCCAAAGTTAGCCTAGTAGTTATTTTTTAGGGTAAATATTTTATACCTATTAAGAGTTATTAATTAATAAAATTTTATATTTTAATTAAAAATGTAATGTTTTTCCTACATTTGCATTTAAACTTCATTTTTGACATATTTGTTTTCAATTATTTATTAATTTATCTAATATAATAATATAAATTTAATTTACATATAATTATTAATATAAAAAGAAATTATAAAAATTATTTATGGTAAAATGTATAATATTTTAACAATATTTTAATAATATGCTAAATAATATATATTAAAGATTACATTAAACTACATATTCTTTTCAATTGTTGTATTACCCTGGTATTTTTTACTTTATGCCCTAAAAAAAAAATATATGTATATATAAACTCAAATTAAATGATCTGTTCTAAAACATTTCTGAATTAAAATTCA